ATTCCTTGAGCTTTAAATAACTAAGAAGGGTACATGGTTATAAGATTGACTCTGACCATTTATGAGCATGAAAAATGCAATATAGATATGCCTCTAGCACAGCCTTTCATGTGTTTTATTTGGCAGAATGTTGTTAGCATCCTTTTTTATTTTACAGTGTTGTTTTTAAAATCTGTACAGCTTATTCACTGTTATCTGTCTTCTCTTGCTTCCTTTGCCACTTGTCTTCTGTGTCATTGGTTCAGAGGATCTATACCAACTAAAATTTCTTGAAGGCCTGGTCACTCCACAGTACTCTGACAGGAAAATTCTGAGCACTTTCTCTTTCTTTCTCTATTGTTGTTTTTATTTTTCTGTTTGTCTGTTTTCTGAAATCAAGTAAGAAATAATGTGAGAATAAGTATCTGGAGAATCTGTTCGTATGAAATACAAGCTTCTCTTACCTGCCTAAATATTTTAAAACTACAGATCAGATCAGTTAATTATAATTTTATCCTTTACAGGAGGTTTTTACTTGCATACCTGAGTCCTAAACTAAAGCAGAAGTATCAGCAGACTGCAGAAGAATCTGATTATGCATAGTTGTAGATCTGGCCAAACCCTGGAACAAGACCTTTTGGTCCTCTTTATTATTCATTAGAGTCCAAATCTGAATTGCTGAACAGTACTAATAGATGTCTTGCTCGTACTATTGTGTGTAACCATTTCTCATTTCTAGTAAGAAAAGAAATATTGTCAGTGTGATAAACTTCACATGTCAAACACAGCTCATATTCATGTACAAAGCTTACTGAGAGTTGGCAAAGTTGTTTGCAGCTATTGTCTAATTCTGTGTAAATCATATTCCAACTTGCAACTTCAGTTTCTCTTCAACAATGAGATGATTTCCAAGCTTCTTTAATGCCTTACATTTTCTGGGTCAGTGCATTCACATCTGAAAACAATTTCTGCTCTTTCCCATCCCATGAAGAAGACGCAAGACAAGAGTAACAATTTTCAGGAGAATAAATGTCTGCATTTCAAGAACCTACAGTCCCTTGTCTGGCAAATTTTGAGCAATTCCTTTGAGAAAGTGTCATGGAGGGGGAGCAAGGACTGAGGGCAAGAGAACTAAGTAATGTACAGTCTCACAAGATGAAAGACTGTGTTGTGGAGTTGAGGTGTGGGTAGCCAGATAGCCACAGTGAGATCCAACTCCTGTAGTTCCTTGGGAGAAGACTGCCTGTGGACTCTTCTCTGTCTTCTTAAAAATACCTTCCTCCAAACCCTGTTTGAAGTATGTTCTTCTTTTCCCCTTTCTTTGTTTACTAACTTTTCCTGCCAGGTAGGACTGTAATACTAATAGTCAGGGTCATTGCCACTCAGAAAGGTTGGAAAAAGAAACAACTCTCCAGGGTGTCACTGCAGAATGTTTTATTTATGCTGCTCTGAGTGCGTGTCATTGGTCCTCAGTCAGGCATCCCAGAGTTAGTTTATGCTGGAATGTTTCTAGCCATTAAAGTAGACTTACAGGTGTCAGCAGACCCGAACTTCACCCAGACGGTACTTAGTATTTTATTTCTTTTTTTTGCATGAGGAAGTAAAATGCATTGAAATTATGGAGCTTGTGCTAGAAAATCTACATTCCTTGTTTTTCTTCACCTGCCAAACCCTGTTGATATTGATAAGGATTAGGTTTTCTGTTTTTTCTTTCTGGGATGAGTTGAGTCTCCTGTTTGTCAGTTCAGAAATTCCACCAACTCAGAGGCTAAGGGGATTCTCAGAAGGCAGCTTTCCAGATGGTGTTTGCAGTACAATGCATGTAGCCATCTGACCCGAGTTTTGCCTCAATATGCTGTGTATTTGCCGTGGGCTTTCTCTGCCTTTAATTTTCCCCAGATCAGTTTAGAGCATTTCATTTACTGAGTCAGTGGGTTTGCATATGAACAGCTGATCAATGGCTCTGGTGGGTTCTAAAGCCAGAAAGCAAGGTGCCATTGAGCCACTGTCTACCTTCCATGCTTAATTAATTTCTCAGTGATGTTTCTAGTTTCTCAATATTTTGCTGCTAGTTTAACACAGAGGGAGATGTTTGATGCATAATGTTAGGGGTATTCCACCAACGGCCCAGATTTAGATTTTTCCAAATGTGCCACTGCTCTACTTGCAGGATGCACTGTGTGTGTAGTACCATCTGCCATCATTGATGCTGTATTCTGTAGAATGAATGCCAGCCCAATTCGGAAGTCTTTACTGTGGTATCCAGCTCATCATCTGCTCTGGTTCACTTCAGCAGGTGTGAAAAGACCTGGACTGTCCTGCTGTGGAGCTTAGAAACCATGGAAATCACAGCCAAAAATGCCCATTTGGACACAGTGCCAGTCGATTCACTCAGAGCCAGTTCATTAGAGTTTGCATATTGCACTTTGCCAATGAGCTGAACTCCCACATCTATTGCCAGCTACTTCTTTCCTTCAAACAGCTGACATGTGTGCAAAGGCATTCATTCCAATTCATCAATTGCTTCAGCTTTTGCTCTAGTGTTACATTTACAGCTATCAAATGCTCGCTCTTTCCTCACTTCTGACTGAGTAGATGCTGCCTGTTACTGTCTGGCAGGTCTCCAGAAGTGACAGAGGTCTGAAAGCTGCTGCCTAGTAGGAGCTTCAGGGCTTTACCTCTCAAATTTTGAACTATCAAAATGGCACAGTGAAGTTGCTCCAACTCACCTGTATTAAAAATTTCACATACTGTGTTACACAGTGGAGTTAGGATTAGAGTCCTAAAAGTACTTCACATGTGGACTCAGTAAGAGAAGTTGCCTTTCCTGGTATAGTTTGAGGTTTTTAAATTTCCACTGGCATTCCAAAGTTATTCAAACAAAAAGTTTAGTCCTGATCAGTTTTCTTGAAGGAAATTACTTTAGTGGATCTGAAAGGTATTTCAGTAATACCTAAGGGAGAGCAATTTTCAATTTATTTTCAGTAGCCTCATTTCATAGGCACTCAAAAATATAGAATGCTCAAAGAGTTCTTTCATCTTGATTGTCACCTGTTAGGAGCAGCCATGTAGGTACCAAGTTTGAAGGCATCAGCCTCCTATACCATGAACATTTGTCAGCAGCCTCTTCTACCAGCGTTGTTTCCAGTGAACCAGTTAGTGGGTATGAACTCAGCCCTCTTCAACTGCCTCCTTGGCCATCACTTTGTGTTGTATCAGAAAGGGTTTCTGGCCATCCTGCTGGACTCTGCTTTTTCTCTCTGGTGTCTGCAAGGTGAAAATCCTCACATTTAGTGCTATATTTTCCACTGTCTAACATCATGGATATAGACATAGGACTCTGTGAGTCCTTTCCCAGACTTGAGGTGAGAGTGAGCTGGTAGTCAGACTAGACCAGTGTCCAGACTTGACCAGCTTGTCCCCTGAAGTGCTGTGGTCTGGAAGGTGCCTGTGATGGTTTACCAGTCAAAACCTTACTCATCAATTTTGAATGAATGGTCAAAATAACATAACAAAATGAATTCACAGACCCAAAGTGGCATATCTGTTTGTACATTTATCAGTGCTTGGGTCACACAGTACAACAGACCCAGGAGTGATTCCAGGCAAGTGCAGTAATTTTTGGACTGGAGAGAGAGAGAAGAGCCACATCTAGATTTTTTCAGTCTCTGTCATATTTTTGCAGTGTAAAGTCAGTGCTTTCTTTGTAGCTTTGGAGACAGGCAGATGAACTGAAGTGTTTCCCTAAATTCAGTACTAACAATTAATATAATGGATATCCAGAATTTTGTTCCACCCATCCCGATATTGTGAGCATAAATTAGGAATAATAGCAACACTTCTGCCCTTTTGACCCCTAAATCTTATTTGGCTGCCAGGACAAACTTACACTATGAGATAGGAATAGCAAGCAAAATTTAGTAGGTGCATTTTATGCTGAGAAGTGGATATGAATGTTCTGTACTATAAAGCAAGAAAGTTGGTAATTTTATCAGGTGTTCCTGTGTAAAAGCCTAATTCCTAACCTCCTGACTTTGGTGTTGGCTTTGAAGTGCTTAAAAATAGAGGGCTATTTTTTAATATGCATGGATCCTAGATACTGTGCTAAACACTTTCTTGTGTCCAAAACATCCATCATTAATGTAGATTTAATAAACTCATTCTTTCAGCATTCTCACCTCTACTGGTTATTGAGATGAGACTCGGCTCTTGTATGTAATATATATATATATTTTACATACAGTCTTTATCAACAAAGGGCTATTTCCTCCTCTTCTTCACAAGAAATTTAGAAGATTTATAAGTATATATTCATATACTATGGATTGTGGAACTAGTCTGATGTGGAAGGAATTGTTTTTCTCTTTATATAATGAGGGAGAGAAAGTCATAAAATGAGAAAACTACGTGAAATAATTTTACATACAGGGATAAATGCATAAAAATGGATTCAATTACATTATCATAACAGAAATGTTAGAAAAATAGTTCCCCAAAGTATTTTAATTAATAAGAAAAAACCCAAATTATTGCTGAACTTTAATTGGAAAGTCAGTAGAAACTTCGATAGGAAGTAAAAACTGATTTTTTATAAGGGTGTCTGGGGGATGAGGATGTGATTATTAGTGATGCCTGCCTATTGCAGCTCTTCTCCCTGCGTTTTTTGTTGTTGCTGTTGCAATATAAAGGTTTATTGCTGAAAATTTCATTAGTTTTAACTTGAATCTCTTAGGTGGCATCTTAGGGGAGTGTAGTCTTCGTATTGCAGACAATAGAGGTATGAGCTTATCCCTTTAAAATTAGACACATATGTGAAAGCTCAACTTCACAAAAAAAGAGGCCGGTAGTTCCAATGTTAAATAGCATATACTGAGTATTACAGGCTTCCACATCTGTGGAGTTTTCTAAAAGGATTACATGAAAATGAGTGAGGGAGAATCGAATGAAAGAAGAATTGAGAATTTTGTTAACTTTCAAATAATGTTTGTGATGATTAATCTCGTATGTTCTGTTTCTTCTAGCTACGAATGTCATGGCTCATCCATGGTGTCTTGCTGGGAAATATATCCCTGGTGCTGGTCGAGAACAAGACAGGAAAGGAACAGAGCTGGACGTTCTGGCATTCCGATAACAGCGAAGGTTTGGGAATATGGCAGCAGACGATCTTACCTCTCCCAGATATACCAGATAGGTATGGGTCTTCTCTCATTCTCCTTGGTGACCAGTCATTTCATCACTAGCTACCTGGCAATGAAAATGGCCAGCATAGCTCCTGGAAGCTGTTCCCTCAGGGAGAAGCCCTTTGTCCCCGTAAGGTATCTTCTGTTAGATGTGGGGAATGAGAATACCGAGTGTTTTGAGCAAAGCACACAATTTTACAAGTCCTGAATTGAAGTCTTGGTTCACAATGGGTCAATGGGTAGCCTACAGCAAGGCACTTAAACTCCTGTATCTACATTTCAGTGACTGGAAACCATTCACTTTGCTTACTGTTCTGTGTTGAATGTTTGATCCACTTACGTGGTTTGGTAGAGTTGGATGTGAGCTCCACAGCTGATTTTTTTTTTTCTGGGTATCAAACCCTCAGCGTTCAATGGTCTAGATCTGAGGATGAAAGAGGTAGGAGGAGAACCTGCTGCAAAATCTGACAAGGATCCATCTAAACACCTTTATGTTAGCTGTAGCTACCACCTTAATAAAGAGCTGTCTCAGTTACAGCTATATTCTGTCTTTAGGCATAAAGTTTATCTGGTAGCACATGCTTGATCTGGTAGCATATGCTTATTTAGAGTGTTGGTTTAGCTGTTTCTTACAAGTCAGCTTTAAGGGAATATTCTTGTTAATTGTTTACTTTCTGTGTGTGCTCTGGCTTATACTGTTTCTAGAGAAGACACAGACATACTTCACCTCCAGCTGCCCTGGCCCTTAGGCTGCAAGATGCCTCTACAGTCTGTGTCATGAGCACTGGTGTCCTTTGTCTTTTTGGGAATCTGTGCCCTAGAAATAATGGATTTCGTTAAGGCATAGTTTGCCTCATAAGAACTTTGAACAAACATGGTATGAATATGTCTTCTATCTTACTGGCTCTTGGGGATGCACGTAGGCTGCAAATACAGCAAGGACACTGCCAATGCTTCGGTCCTGAATGTATAATTAATATGTGTGCGTCAAAGATTTAAAAAATACCAGCATTAGGCTTATTGTGCAGTCACTGCTGAAGCACCATTTGTAAAAATACCTGGTTGCTTCATTCCCTTCAGCTGTGTTTCCTTTGAAGAATGGTATATTTTGCCATTATTATTTATGTGATTTATTTTCTAATGTTGCCAGGGGAATGTTTTGTACCTGAATTATTCTGTACCCTTGTACTATTGCTTTCCTTTAAATTCTCTCTGGTTGCACAGTCGGGCAGAGAATACTTTGATCTTAGGAGCCGGGCTAGCAGTGGTTCATGTGGAATCACAGATTCAGCTGATAACACATGCTGACTATTATGTATAAGATGATGCTGACACCCTTACTTCCCTGTTACTTACAGAGAAAGACAAATGAGTTCCCTGAAGGAAGGGAGTTTGTTGGAGGTTAAGACATGAGCAAGGAAAACTTTGAAGTTTTGATGCCTCTTGAAAAGTTTTTGTCCCTATTTATTCACAGAAAGTGCACTATTTTAATGAATTTTTCTTCTAAGATTGATGTAGTTGAAATCAATCCTTCCGGGGAAGAAACAAATCTCCTGTGAGACTTGGAAATACTGCAGGTATCTTTCTCACCATCTCAAAACCTGTTTCTTAGGAAATCTGGACTGATGTACAAATTAGGAAGGAATTCTATGGAAGTATACACCAAAATGGTACCAGTGAGACTCCAGAGTATAAATGAAGATAAATGACGGTTCTATTGAATAGTAAGAAGTACTTAATTGATGTGAACGCAATGCTGGTGCTGCTGAAGTCTTACTGTGTCTGTCTTTTTCTAATTGGTTCCTGTCTCAGAAGCTGTGAGGGTCTTAGAAGAACCACAATATTGCAGATATTCCTACAGGAGGAGCTGAAAGTTTAAATCACCTTACAGAAGTAAAACTCTTGAATAAGGCACACCAGTGCACCATTTTCACACAAAATTAAAGCACATTCCATTGTGTTTGGGAAGCTGAATGGAAAGTGTTATTAATAACAAGATAATATGCTCTAAAACTGCTTAAAAGCATGCTTGTTTAAAAGCTGCTTAGACATAATTTCCATGTTTGGCTTATAGCACTTCAAAGAATCATTAGGAAGACTTCCAAGAAATTAGATCAGCTCTATCTTTAGGAACAGACGTTTCTTAAATGTTTGATATCCTTCAGGCTGTTGGGAGAAATTATATTTTGGCAGAAAATCACAGCTAAACATTTCAGGTGAATTGGCAGTACCAGAAAGGAGGGAGGAGTAAGACAAAGTAGCTAAATTGGGACTGAGGGATATTAGATTTCTAGCATTGAATTCACCTGGGCAACCCTAGACTTAATTTCCAGGAGTATGATTAGGAGAGGACTGTCTTCTTTCCTTACATTTGATCCTTACGAAAGCATCCAGTTGCAATTTCACCCTGTGTAGACTTGCAAGAAGCTGAAGTGCTTCTTGTAAGCTTGTAAGCTTGGCACTTCACATCTTCCTGAAGTTAACCTCTCCTTCCTTGTTCTGGAAGATGTTGGCAGAACAGTCTTGAGAGTCGGCTCATGTGGTGTGTGGATTAACAGAGCTGTAGCCCAGTTCCAAATTCTCAGTATCTTCTGTGCACGGAGGAGGAAGGGCAAAGGGCCTGGTGAAGCACAGGTTGTCAAAGCAGCTACAATTAAGGAAGCCAGTTGTGTGCAAGAGCTCCTTAAACTGTTGGATAAACAGGTTGTGCCTACCAGAGGCAAAAGTCAACATCCCCAGAGGTACTGTATTTTAACTTGCCACTTAGATAGGCTCAGCTCGAACTAACAATCCTTCCTGTGATTCATTTAGCCCCTGTAGAGCCACCTACCCCTCTCTGAAGGACACATTATCTGCAAATCAAATAATCTTCACAGATTAGTGAAAGATAGAGAACTGGTCATTTTTAATTACTGGAATTCACACATTAGTGCAGTATGACAACATTTGGGTTGAGAGTAGTGTAGAGAACCTCGTTATTGTAAGCTTGTTTCGTTTGATGGAAAATTACTGCTTGTTTTCCAGTGAAAAGTGATGAGTCTGTTGAGGATTGTTCTTTGTTAACTTTACAGAAAGGCAAGTAGGAAACAGGCTTGGAAGCTCTGCTGTAGCTGGCAGTTTGGGCTTGGTTTTTTTATATATTGGCTTTTAGTTAGTACATGTGAGCCTAAATTTTAGTAATGATATAGTTTTGGGAGTGTGACAGCAAGAGCAAACAGAAGCCTGATGTAATGGAAGATGAGTGATTCGTGTAGCTAATAATTAGCCATTCTGTTAGTTAAACAGTATGGTTAAGGTATATCACAAAGATAACATACAAGCACCTACAGCTCAGTGATTCTCTGAAGCTTACTGTAGGCTGATGCTCATTATCACCAACCCGCTTAGCAACTGTTTTTCTACACAGTGTGAAAGGTGGGAAAGGATTAACTCTAATAGGCTGAAACCTGGCTGGAAAATTAATACTTTAAGAAACAAATTCCAAATCTCTTGATTTTTGCTCCCTTGATGAATCTGAGGCCAGTTGTGTGGAGCAGCATGTCGACTAAATATTCTATGGGTACCTCTATACCACCTGGCTGAACTTGCCTGAAAGTGGACTCCGCATGAGCCAGCCCAGCCCAGCTCAGGTCTTTTAAGACCTATATTCTCTACTAAACCTGTCCTGTCCTTTAAAGTTTTCCTTGTAATCTCTGTGAGAGAAACCTGCTAAGAATGGCTAATATTAATACCAACCTGTCCGACCTCAGCAAAGTCTTATGACAAAAGAATATTGTATAGAAATATAAAGGGAATTTAAATGTGTTTACTGGTTAGAAAAGTTTCCTTGGTCTCCTTTCTTCTTAAATTTATTTTTTTTTTGCTATTACAAAGTCTAAATTTGTAGGCAGTCTTAAGCAGAAGTGGCCAGGTGGGGGAAGGAGGAGTGAGAAGAGTTTACTTGAGGGCCTAAAAACTAAATTTTCAGTCATAAATAGCATCACCATTTGCCTTGTCACTGAAAGCAAGGCTAGGTCCTGTGTTCTTCAAACAGGGCAACATGTTCAGAAAGTAAAAATCAATTTTCTCTTGGTCCCATTGTGCTCAGAGAGCTTCAAAATTATTTTCTTGCTGATGACCTTCTCCTGAACACAGACTGAGGAGTTTTATTATGTTGGAAGGGAAAAATATGACTTACCTGGAAGGCTAGGTAAGGAAGAGACCTTCCTAAAGAAGAAAGCAAAAAGGTCTACAGGCTTTACAATATCACCTCAGAAGGTGATATTCTGTTGCAACAAGTCAGAATTCATGTCCAAATTATTGTACTTTCTGTTTCTTTAAACTGACCTCGTTACCTATTCCGATCTTTCTGACCCGCTGGATTTTTACGAACTGCACTGGTTCTCATTAGGTTTTTTGTCTATATATCAATGAGGGATTCCCTTTCAGTCCATAGGAGTGAGATCCTTTGTTCAATCTGGCTTCTTCAGCAACTCTGGTCCCAAAGGCAACCAAAGCAGCTGGGGACATTCTCACTCATTTCTGCAGTAAAAAGACAAGTAAAAAGAAACTGTCTCATATCATACCACTCTGCTGTTATCTCTGTCAGCTGTGGCTAAGCACTCTTTTTGTCCAATAGTTTTTCTTGCATTGCCCTGTCTGTCACACTCCTTTCACATTTTTTGTATAATAAGTTTCTGGGTATCAGGTTTTCCATCAAGGAAGAAAAATGAAAGGAAGGTTCTTGGCAACATTTTTGATCCAGAGGCCTGTTTATATCATGTTATTCCTAAACTTTCTTCCCATTCTTCTATGAAGAAACAGGGACCCTCCATACAAGCTAGACATATGTCTCCCTACACATTAGTACCACATATACATTATTTGGTCATATCTACACCCAGATGTCTTTAGCCTCTCTTCTTACATCCATCCCACAAGCCTAGCCTGTGTTGCCTTGAGGTGGTCACACATTACTTTATTAAAAACAGTGAGACTTTAACACTCATATCACTGCTCTTCTGCTCTCTAG